GTGAGCGGGAACCGGTCCATATGTGGGATCCGAACCCTCGGGTGGGAGCGCCGCCATGCTTCCCAAGCGGCGCACTATCCAGTGTGCCACCGGGCCGGCCCGCCACCTCCCCTTCATGACAAACACTTCCCACTTACTGAGCACCCACCATGTGGCGGGGAAGCCTCACTGATAAAGAAGACTTATCTTTCAGTCTAGTGTGCCACACATAATCACAAGAAATAAGTAAATAAGTAAATAATAAAACAGGTCACACAATCACTGTAAATGTGATACCTGACACATCTCTCTTCAAGAATCTCCAGCAGCTGCATTTCTTAGGGAACAAGATCTGGAACACTCCACCTGGTGTTCCAGCCCCTCTGCATGTGACCTCTCCTGCCCCTGCCCTAGCAGCAGATACCACCGCTTTGGCCACGGAAGCCTGGTCTTCTCACCGCTCCCTGAACACGCCATCTCCAGCAGCTGCATTTCTTAGGGAACAAGATCTGGAACACTCCACCTGGTGTTCCAGCCACTCTGCATGTGACCTCTCCTGCCCCTGCCCTAGCAGCAGATACCACCGCTTTGGCCACGGAAGCCTGGTCTTCTCACCGCTCCCTGAACACGCTGCGCCCGCTGCTCCCGCTGCCTCCCCTGCTGTTCCGCAGCCCTCCCTTCTCTCTGCCTGCCCTGGTGCCTCAGCCCACCAAAGCCTAAAAGTAAATGAAGCCCAGTTCAGCCATCGTGACCCACACTGGGCTTTCCCTTCTTGATCCATTTGTAAAATGAATAAAAATGAACTGACAAATCAAAGGCAAGTCACAGGCCCACCGATCACGTGCTTGGATGGCAGTGGTCTGCGCACTTCACTGTGGGAAGCACTGGTCTGCCAACTGTTGCCTGTCTCTACAGAACTTGAGAATAAGTATGGAGAAGCTTTTATATCAATCTGATATTTTTGCCACATTCACGTGCGTGATTTTGTATTTTACAGAAGTGACATTTCTTGGTGGATTAAGAATTTAAATATCCAAAACCAAAACCTGGGCT